CTATCTATCTATCTATCTATCTATCTATCTATCTATCTATCTATCTATCTATCTATCTATCTATCTCACCTGATGTCCCGTTGCAGCGGAAGAATGCGAAATACATCCTGGTTCCGGTCCCCTACCACCTTCCGGACGCCAGACAGGAATCCGTCTGCCAATCGTGTGTCCTCTACCATCACTGTCGTCTGCTTCATGTTGAAACTGCCTATGACCTGGGCAAGGGCTGTTCCTTGAGCCTCGGGGCTTGGGTTCAAACTCGTGAATGTTCGGCCGTAGATGTTCTGTTGGCGAAAGAAAGGACAGGCATTAGTCAGTTTACTGAAAGTGAAAGATTAATATTATGTTTGTAGATGCATATAAAATATTATTACCAGTCGTAAACGCATAACAATAGCAATTGATTAAAGGCACAACACCTGGGAAAATCCAAAAAAATCCCCAACAAAGTCGATATTTACCACAAATAGCAGCAGCAACAATACCAACAACAACGACAATAATACCAACAGCAATATCACCATCATTGCATAATACAACAACATAGAGTTGTGGTTGTCACCTGTTTTCGTATCTGCTTGTAACCTTATGTCTTTTTCCACCTCTCTCTCTCTCTCTCTCTCTCTCTCTCTCTCTCTCTCTCTCTCTCTCTCTCTCCTTCTCTTTCTCTCTCTCTCTCTTTTTTTTCCTTCTTTTTCTCTCTCTCCACACACATACACACACATATGATACCCGCACACAGACACGCACATACACACACAAACAAACACACACACACACACACACACACACACACACACACACACACACATACACACACACTCACTCACTCACTTACTCAATTCACACACTCACATTCTCACACAAAGCCGGGCACAGAGACAGAAATCCCGTGGAAGGCACTATGGCCGAGTAGTGTATATTATACTCTTGGGAACAAAGACCCTCAATCTGCTAAATACAGGATACTCCATAGTCCAAAGGAGTGTGTGCGAACTGGTGTATATTTCTATGTCTGAAATTGTGGGTGCCTATGTGTTCCTAAAGGGGTGATGCGTATGGGTGAGACGGGTGTAAAATGTGTATATGTGTGTTATGTGAGTGTGTGTGGGTGTGTTTATGTGTGTGTGTGTGTGTGTGTGTGTGTGTGTGTGTGTGTGTGTGTGTGTGTGTGTGTGTGTGTGTGTATGGGGAGTGTGTTGGTTTGGGTGTGAGTGTGTGGTATGTGTA